GGTTATCGGTTTTTGAGCTATGTATATTATGTAACCAGCCCATTGTCACTTCAGCTTAATCCGTTGAACAATGTAGGTTACTCTGATTCTAGTGCGGATATCCTCACTTCTAACTTATTTTGGCTACGCTACATTGAAAAAACCTATTATATAAAGTAACTCAACGATATCCCAAGGGTGATGGCTGCGTAAAAAAATCCATGACGACATTTCGTTTCATAATAATCGTACTGATCCGTTCCGATCCGAAATAAAGATAGAATTAGGTATACGGATACAATGAAGTATATATGAACAATGGGGGAAGGACAAGTCTCTCACAGAATATCAGCATAAAATAGCAGCTTAATGCTGCTAGTTTTCGTGGTGAGTGTAGAGAACCGGAGACCCGTTTTACTGGAATTGAGGCATTCCATCTTAGTCCTCAGGAGGTGACAACGCGTCGATTTTTAAGATTAAATTTAGATGTGTATGGGCCACAGCATCCACTTACCATCAGGTGGACTGTGTGCTCGTTTGTCACCCTTATCCTTTAAAAAAATGCGACTATTGAAATATTATGTCATGTGTCTATCGCAAGCAGTATATTGTACATCGCGAACGATATAGCCTAGTGGAGAGCTGGTGGAGAGGCCTTTTCTGCCTAAAAGTTTCGCCCTTACGTAGGTCTGCCGCGCTTGTACTGCTATATTCCGGAATGAATAGTACAGAATGGTCTGAATGGTACAGAGCCAGTATTGTCACAAGCTGAGAGTTATTCCATCTTAGTGATCTGAGGTGACAACGCATATGCAGCGTTCTTTGTCTGAAGTTGATTGCAAGCCACTCACCATCAGGTGGACTGTTAGTTTTCTGTTACTTCATTTTTATAATTAAATAAACAACAAAATCCCTACAGTATAGCATGGTGGTCACGATCCTTAGGATTAAAAAAAACAACTAGGATGATATGTTGGTGCTGGCCGTCGTTGATTGGGTATTTTTGATCTGCTTACTAGATAGTTATACCGCCTTCTGTTAGAGACTTCGAGATGTTTCTAGCACTTCTCATTATCGCCGCATATGACAACCTCAAAAGTATGATTATTAAAGATTGACAGATAGAAGAATTTACAAAACTAATAAGGCCGAATAGGAAAAATTATGTACAGTCGTCGCTCTGGCAGCGAATTGGGAATCAAAGTTCAGACGTATTTGGCGATGCTTCCTGTTTGATTGTTAAGGCCTAGAATATTCGAGGTGTTTCGAACATCTTTGAAACTTTCTAAATTTTTTGTCATTATTCTTAATCTTTTTCAACAATAATAATAAAATAATAATGTTATATTCATTAATTTCATTGTTACATTTATAGAACAATACGGAGGGAAAAGGAAGAAATTTAAAAAAATCGTGCTACAATATAAAAGCTTATTCGAGTAAATTATGTAAGATTTTTTATGTAAGATCTACAACATAACATTTTTAAAACTTCTTTAGTTCTTCTTCGTCTTAATGTCAGCAGACGGTTTCAGAAATTAATAGAAAGACTTTTTACTGATACGAACTTCATCTCTGTGACAACGATTGTTTTTTTCTAATCGAGGATAAATGTAGATATCCATGAGCCACAGTAGCCACTTACAAAAATGCAGTATATTCGATACGAGGAATTGAACTGTTATAAAATATAAACTATCATATTACGTATTATATTGTACATTAATTATTAAATAAACAGTCGCGCTAGGTTTCTTACTAGTTCTTTATAAGACAAAGGTGTTCTCCAAACTATCTGTAAAAGCATTAATGACTTTCTTTGTAATTTAAATTGAACAAAATTTATTATATTGTATAGTTTTTGCCAGTTTCTGTCCACAATTGAAAACAGGCATCGTCTAAGTTTATTATAAACTGCCACGCTTCACGTTTACACAATTCAAGGGTGTCGTGTCACCGTCGCCGATCTCAGTTTTTGAGTACTAAATTGATAACTAGCGGTAAAATCATAAATGTGTATCAAATTATAATAATAATGCACAATAATTATTATATTGTAATCTATCATTTCTGCCCGTTGAATTGTGGATGTTGAAAAAGTGCCTTGCTTAAGTTTGTTAATAACTGCCACGCTTCACGTTTGCACTATTCGAGGGTGTTCACCGTCGCCAAACTCAGTTTTTGAGCCTTACTAGATTGATAGGGATAATGCGCTATTGATGGCGCTGTAATATATATGTATAAATTTTATGGAATATTTCTGAGTTTTCCACGTTAAAGAAATTCACAATAGCTAACAAACGGTAACTGGCTGAATATATTATATTTGAAAATAACCTAATTGTTTATCGTGACTCGGAATAGTTCGCAACCGCGTGAATCATGTATAGCGGCATGTGGGCGATGTTTAGCGCCGCTAAGCACCCGCATCTAGAGCTTATCATTGCGATACGCGCACGGACTCGCTAATGAGACCGATCGATACCCCACAATGTTCTTATCAACACTCCAAACTTTAGTTATGAAAGTAGCCTGTCCATTTTATTGTTCGTCCTACATGAAACCGCCGGCGGTTAATATCGGGCTTAGCTAAGTTTAATGCACCCTTCACTTAACGAACTGTTCTGAAGGATTAAATACAAAAATGCATATCGATACGCATAAAGCTAACTTCACCGGAAAGACAGGTTTAGTTTAATCATTACTATAATCTCTTGCATCTGTATATTATGCAATATTAAGTTATTGTATGTCATATTAAATTATTTATACTTAATTTCAATTCATGTAATCTTAATTCCGAAGGCACCTAACAAATTCAAGTTTTCTTTTAATAAATTGCGTATAAAATGTTGTTTTTGAATTTTATAAAGACAGAAAACGTATAATACATCCGAATACAGTGGTCGCTGGGGATATCATTTTAAATATTGAAAATGATAAAAATTCATTTTAAAAAGTTTAATAATTTCTAGGTAATTTTAAGTTTAAGAATATATATAATTATTTCTACATAATAACTTCTGAAGTCAGTTCAACATTACTACGATTTACTATGTGGCATGTAATATTAAAAGTGTGTAATATGAAATTATTAATACTTAATTTCAGTTTACGTAATTTTAATTCCGAACGCACTTAACAAATTCAAGTTTTCTTTTAAGATATATTATTTTTAGCATGAAATATACTGCGTTAAGTCATTTATTAGAAGAATAATTAGGCGTATAAAATACCTATAGTTTTTGTAGGTTATAAAGGCGGAAAACATAAAATAAATACACTTGAGTAACATTTTGGGATTCCATAAAAATATTTATTGTCACTGCAGATACGATTTTAACTATTGAACATCAAAAAATATTTTAAAAAGTTTAAAAGACTATAAAAATTTCTAGATAGTGACTTCTGAAGTCAAGGGCTTTAACACTTCGTCATTACTACGATTTGTTATGTGGTAGAAATCTTTTTCTGCTTGAACCCGTCTAGGTACCACTTACCTACTTCTGCTGCTACATAGGAATGCTTACTGCACTGATATGCACGGTCTTAGGGTTACAGGGAGTCAGTATAACAGACTGTAAGATATTCCTTCTTAGTGCTCTATACTGTAAGTTCTGTCAGTTTTATTAAAAAATACACTTCGATGTCTTAGCACGGGCTTCGGAAGCTATCGTGAGGAAATTATTTTATTCTTTTTTATTCTTTAAAGTCGATTTTTACAAGCTCAAGGTAACAATTGGGATAAAGTCCCTTATTTTTCAAGCCATAGAGATGCATTTTTTTAATTTAAATTTATGTGAACCATCATTAAGGATTATAATCTTTTTAAGAAAATATAAAAGGTTAAAGAGGAGAAACCCTTTAAGAAAATTTTTCTTTTCTTATTAAAATCGGTTTTCAAATCTCGAAGGTATCACGTAATATACTAACTAAAAACATATAGTCAAATTGAGAACCTCGTCTTTCTTTGAAATCGGCTAAGAATGGTTTCATTTAGTTATATGAAATAATAACGGCAGATTCGGGGATTTATTGCATAATATGATTTAAAATCTGCATTAAACGGGGCAAAAGTAATATTAATACGTGACTTTCATTGAAAATGTAAAGAAATTAATATTTAAGCCCCTTGTGGGTGATTAAAGGAAAAGACGAGGGTGTTTATTAACAGTTAATAGAATTGCGGAACGCGGCGGGAGGCGAGTTTCCGAGTTTCAACGTCCGGGGCCCGTCGCTACCTTGCAACCTGTTGCCGCCGGCGCCGCCTTCCGCCCATCGTCACGTAGCATTTCCGTGTATTAAACCAAATCAAAACAACATTTTATATTGATAGTTGACAGTAGAATTTCTGAAACAAAGTTATCTGACACTTACCCTTCGCTGAACTTCGTGGCGCGACCGGAAAATTTTGAAGTTTCGACACAAAAATTAATAAGAAGAAAATTAAATTTAATTCAAAAATCAATTTAATTATAAATATACTATTAGCAGAACAAGAAATAATTGAAAGACACTACAAAATAATTTAATTGAAATCAAATGTTAGATGTAAAATAACTTAGGAAAATAAATGTTGCGAATTTAAGCGCGAGCGGCGGCTTTCGTGAAGGTCTGAGGGTCGAATGATGAGAGAGGCTTTAGAGCACGCGGTATCGCCGCCGCGGCCGACTACAGAGTGTCAGCGGGTTGAACAGTCATGGGCCCCACCCCTAGCGCAAGCGCGCTCCAGCACTCCCGGCGCGCATGACCGACATCCTACCGAAAAGTGGAAAAGTGACTCCTCCAACGTAGATATACACCATTATGTACTAAATAAATATTGTATTGTAATAGATGCTGGCTCAAATAGGTACATAATTTTGACCCAGTTGCAGATTTTCATACTTGATTTTCAGTTGCCACATATTCTTTTCCGTCGCTAGATATATCTTTCCTTCCTCCTTACATTACTTTATAAACATCCTTTAACCTTATCCTAATATAAAGTCCGTAAGAGAGAAAGAGTACACTCTTCGAAACTATCCTTTAAACATAACTCGTTCGCTTGCTGTACTTTTTTTGTGGTCACTGACGACTATGTTGTATAATTCTTTTATGACAGAGAAATATCCAGTTCTAAGTGTAGTTTCATAGCCGCGGGGCAATGCTTGAAATTTGGTAATAATACGTTGATCAGATTCAAGAAATACGCGAAATTCATACGCATAAGTCTGTTTGTATTTATTATAAACGTAATCTACGCTGTGTCCACAGTGCGCCTTTTTGTTCATTTCAAATATACTGTTATTTGCCAAAGGTTGTATAAAACCGGCTTTTTTGTTAATTTTTGCAACAATTTCACCCGCTTTTTCTTTAACTCTGTCTACATTTGCATTGCTATTGCTTGTACTTGCGAATGGGTACAAAATCGCATGTCCATCACGTCTAATCGATACATAGGCCCTTAAATTATTTTTATATTTTTCTAAAACGTTTGCTATGAAAATTGTTTCATTTTCAGACATTGCTTTATTACCGGGATATTGGGAAGAAAATCCGTTAACTATTCTGTTACATTCGCTAAATGCATATTCAAAGTTTCTACTTATGTCCACTCCGATACTGTGATCGACTTCTGAAATTCTCATATTCTTTTTCCACGGCGCTTTATGCTGAAAATGATAACGATAACTGTATATCATTTATTTCGAAACGTATGATAAATAATAAAAAATACACTTACGTATCTGGAAAACTCGCGTCCATCTGGATTAGTATTTGGGAGAATAACCCATCGCACGTTTTTCAACATATCGCTATATTCCATACAAGCAAGCAATTGCTCAATAATAAACAGTGCAAAGTTGACGGATTCTATCCCCGCTTCCTGTCCTGCTTCTAACACAATCACAGGTTTGGAGTTTTTACCTATCTCATTCTTGCCGTCAAATCCAAGAACAACCTATATTAACAAAAGATTTCATAAAACTTTAGGCTAAAAAGGTGCTATGTTTTATGAAATTACTGGAAAGTACAAAAAAGCTAAACTAGGATGAGGATTTTGCTACATATTAAGATTTTTTCCGGATTATTGTTTTAATAAATCTAGTACAAATCCTTATAAGACTCAAAATAAAGGGTCTACGTCGATTAAGAAATTGTGAGTCGGACCTGAACACTTGCATTAATAGTAGGAGTGGTAATTTTTTAAAATTATATCAAAATGTACCATCACATAATGCAGTTTTAAACTATTATTATTATACCTTTCTTGATTCGATTTAGTATCCAAAAATAATTCAAAAATTAGGTCTGATTTATCAACCGTCAGTAAAAGTTAGCCATCAAATAAATTATATCCAGACCCGGGGTGATCCAACTATGTAATTTGCACACAGTCATAATTTTGTCTATGTGGGTTAGGAACTAAAAATAAAGCGAGAAAAAGGTATTGCTTTTTCTTTTCTCCACGTTGTTTTAGATAGCCATTTTAAAAATTGGATACAAATATTCGAGTATACATAATTGTTACTACGGAAGAAACGGAAAATGTTAATTTTGTGCTATATTTTTTCGGTTTTATACAGCAATTATATATACTCTGAGGTTTGCACAATTAATTGACCTATTAATTGATTAAATTAAATTATTAAATATTAGCAGAATTCTATCAAGAGAAGTCATGAATTAAAAGAAAAAAATTACTTTAATATTGATGTGGAAACCTAAAAATAAAATAAAATAATAATAACCAGTTTTATACATGAAAAATTTTGCCAAATTATAATAACTTATATATGTTTCTACAAAAAAAATGTGTACAATAATAAATTCGTCCTATACTTAAGTTCCCACAAAAATGTCGCATCTGAACATATAAATTTCATAATCTATATTCCCTGACACGAGATGACGTCTTAGGAATAATTTGTTTTATTATTAATACGTAATACTTTTTTATTAATTAAGTATCTTATTAACCGATGAAAAATAATTCCCTGGTTTTACTGACATTTCTTGAATTATTTATGCAATATCTAAGTACACACGACGGCATATTTTTATTATCATGAGATTTTTTTTTAAATCAACACAACACGTGACAACTCTATAAGCGCCTAGCGAGTGACTGATTAAAGTGCGGTGCATGCGGAGTAGCTGAATGCAGTGTTGTCTCTATTACGTAGTACATAATACCTCAATGGTTTCATTACATGTTTTGACAGTGCAAAGGCACCGTCTCCTAAAAATATATAGGGTACATCTTTATCTGAACTAGGCAAGGGGCGTGGTGTAGGCAAATTTAATGTATGCAGATAATTTGTTTTCTATACTAATCAATTTTTAAACAGCCCGCCATTGCTAATTCTACCCCACATTCTATATTTGCAAATATAAAATTATATTTGCCGTCAACTAAAGCTAACAATACTATGTTGTATGTTTTCTTATAATTAAAATCTTCTGATCCTGATTCTGGTGGGTTTTCTATAACGACATGTTTTCTTTTTTAGAACCAAAAAAGCTCGAGGAAATTTAAATCCTTTTTCAATTTTAAGCCACTCTTCTAGGCACGTCGGTATCTGTAAAAGGAAATATATTTCTTTAATGTATAAAACTTTACATTAGTAAACGTTAGAATACGTTTATACTATAGACTTACTACTAATACTTTTCTTCGAAAATTAAATAGTTACCGTCCCTCCAAAGCATGGTAGGGTCAGACTATTAATCTCCAAAGCACGGTAGGGTCAGACTATTAATCTCCAAAGCACGGTAGGGTCAGACTACTAATCTCCAAAGCACGGTAGGATCAGACTATTAATCGTACTTTTTGTTGATTGTTTTCTTATATTTCAGGAAGAATCAGCAAATGATGAAACAAATGAGGAGGCTCAGGAGGCTGGTCCAAGTAGTAATATAAAAAGTCAACAAATAATTCAAGAAATATTCTAAAACGATTCGTCACCGTAACCCTTAGAGCTTTTGATCGCTGGAGAAACAATTCAGGATTGTATTTCGACACTCAAAACGACATTAAGCACTCAGCAAACCCCACGAAGATGATGAATGTGATCTACATGGTAAAATGATGAACAATTTGAGATTGTTATCTGAAGATGAAAGAGAGCAGTTTATAATTTGTGAAATTTATCTGATGTTTCAGCGTTGTAACCGACGGAAAGAACCACAATCCCCCGCCTATTTTTCGCAAGTTCGATCAGAAACTTCTGGATAGTTTTCGCCTGCTCGAATTATTTCATCCGATTACAGTGTGAATTGGTTTTTGTTAAGTCATTGCGCTTCGTCATCTTAGGCTACATCACCACTTACCATCAGGTGGGATTGTAGCTAAACGCTGGCTTTTGAATAATTAAAGAAAAAGTTCGCTTGATATTGAAACCAAATCACATTTTAGCACAGTTCCTTGAATTACTAAGTTCAGTTTATAAATTTTAATAGCTAATAAGTACCCGTGACACTTTCGTAATAAATGCTTTTGATTATTATGTAATTGTATTGTATTTTGACGACTCCGTGGCGCAGTGGCTTAGCAACCAGTGGCTGCGCTGGGAGTCGCGTGTTCGAATCCCGCACGGAACAAGTACTTGCATGGCCTACAAATAACTGTTCCGGGTCTGGATGTTTGTCCTTGTACAATTTATGTTTGTAAAAGGGTTCCGTAGTTTCCCGTCCGTCACAATAAGTGTTCCCACTTATGAGTTTAAAGGTGGGTATCCATTATGTTCGCGCTCCAGCAGCGCTCCGCGCTCCTGCAACTGCTCCCGGTAGTGGGTACTGTTGTTTCCATCCAAGTTCAAAATGATTTTCCTAGAAAGTCCTTATAACGTTCTACTTTTCAGATTATTTTCATATTTTCTAAACTTATGGTTCAAAAGTTAGAAGGGGGGGGACATTGTTTTTTACTTTTGGAGCGATTATTTCCGAAATCACTTGACATTATCAAAAATGATTTTAGTAAACCCCTATTCATTTTTAAATACCTTTCCAACAATACATCACACGTTAGGGTTGAAATTAAAAAAAATCACTTCCCACTTTACATATAGGGGGTTACCCTAATAAACATTTTTTTCCAATTTTTATTTTACGACTTTGTCGGCGTGATTGATACACATATTGGTACCAAATTTCAGCTTTCTAGTGCTGACGGTCACAGAGATTAAGCGAGAGAAGACATGGCGAAACTATAAGGGTTCCTAGTTGACTACGGAACCCTAAAAATGATTATATACCTTAATTTCCGTCCTGAGTACTTCATTCAAAGCTTGGCACACTTCGGGTATTATCAGCGATATCAGTTGAGGTGAAACTTTAAACAAAAAAAGTGAACTTTCTAGGCTGTTTCCAGTTGCCAAAAATCATAATGTAATGTCGAGCCGTATTCTATTGTGCTTGATTGTTTAGCAATCAGTGGAGAAACTGCACTGAATAACTTTTCTGAATCTAAGAGATACATTCTTGTCAACTCTTCTCCTACTAATTCGGTTGACTGCTCTTCCAGATCGCACTGAAAGAAATATTTGGAAACAAATATATTTTTTTAACTTGCTAGTAATATTTTCTCGCTGTAGTATTTAGAGTCAGCAACAAGCCAAGTTATATAATCTGCTTAAGGCAATTTGTAGTAACTTAGGTCACACTAGAGCACATCAACACAGCTTAAAGTTTTTGCTTTTGGTATAGATATAAAATACATGTCAATAAGACTTGCCTGGTTCTATTGCGATGAACTTGTGTCAGCCTCAATCTTCTCCTCCTCCATTTCTTCTTTACTTGTTTTTGTATTTTATAAACGCATAATTGTAACACGCTAAAGCACACAGTGTCAGAGCAGCAGCAACATTAACTTCCACGTCCATTTCAGTCAAATACGCGTACTTAAGGGGAAATATAATGTCAAATGGCTTAGCAAGATCCTTCGTTATGCCGAAAATATTGCAGCATTAATTTTGAAATAAATATATGGTAAAGTTGAGGATTAATGTTAAGGATTATGTTAGACGAAAACACGATTTCGTAAAATTTTCTCGATAGAAAAAAAATCCAAAGTTACCTCCAAAATAAACAATAAACCGCTGTTATTCCTAAAATACTTTAAATAAGATCATGAAACTTTGCATACTAACTGAACTAACTATAAAGCAGTGCTTATGTTATTTACTTTTTTTTAAATACCATTGTTTTCACTGTAAAAAGAAATTACCTAAACTATAGCCCTTTTGAAGCGTGATTCCTGCAGCACGGTCACTTCGCCTCGGCCTTTGAACGGGGAGGTTGTGTCGCTTACGATCAGAATATACATTACGCAACAGTACGACGTAAAATTAAAATGGGAAATAACCGTGATAAAAATAAGAAGCGGCTGGCTTGGCGTTAAAAAACAGGCATAAATATGATAAACCTAATGAAATAAGTGTCTAACGACCTTTCTACTTACAGTATTAGTGATTACAAACATGTCGGTACATAGCATACGACGCGCGGGCAAGTGGGGACGAAATTAGAATTTGAGCTGACTTACTCTATCCTCTTAAATGCGAAAGGTTGCTAGGCTATATTTTACGCGCCTTGTTCAAGCGTGAATCGCGGCCGTGATTGTACTACGCGGGCGGGTGTAGAGCCCGCATAACGTGTAGTGATGGTGTAATAATATCCAATAGTACATATTGTTCTGCGGATGTCATAAAGGCGACACAGTGAAACAAACTACTAGAACAATAAAAAAACTGCGGATGCCCGCAAGAGTGGCAACTGTGGCTAATGTCCCCTGGGAAACCTATGTTCAACAGTAGGCTGATAGGCTATAATGAATACACATATAACACATTTTCCTATTTTGGCTCTTAATTAAAACCCATGGTAAATGTAATTGAAAATGTTTTTGGAATTTCGATAATGAACAAATTCAATAATAATAATAAAATTTTACTTGCCTCATATAAATTTCGTTTTTGAAAAGTTAAACTCTCATTATAGACTGAAATATAACGCCAGCAATACTTTCTGATAGCTTTTAAGAATATCGCAACCTGCAATTGAATTGGTAAATATTTATAATATATAAAAGTCAGAATGAAAGTTATATTATGTTAAAAATTTCAACCTGCCTACCGGGCGTGCTAAGTACGGGCTAGTCTTTTAAGGTATGTGCCCCGCTTGGAGCTGGCTTCAAATGGCCTACAGCAACAGGTAAAAAATATATAGCAACAGATATAAAATATAAAATATATAGACGAAAAAGGAAAAGCATCAAGCTTATTGTTTATTTCATGTGAATTTTTATACCTCTCATGAAATATTTTTTTTAATTTTATTTCAAACGTTTTCGTTTGGCTCCACGGTCATATTTTATTAAGAGAACATAAACAATTGATTTCAATTTATTCCTTAAAATTTTAAAATAAGGGTTTAAAAAAAGAACAGCCAAATCTCAACAATCTCGCTAGAAGAAGTACGCCTACTACCGTAAGTATTATTTTATCTCATTTTATCAGTATTTTTTACTGATTTATATTTTCTATTCTGACTATTTGGTCAGTCCAAAACCAAAAAGACACCAAAACCAGTCTGATTACTTAACAGGTTTTACCTAGCCATCGCACATAGAAGTCTACTTGTCTGATTTTTAATCGCCAACATTGACAATCTTGTCCTTTTTATTCTCTATTCGTGTCTGTATCAGCCAAGATCAGAAACAGTCCAATACTGATCATGTGTTTTTTTATTGTGGCTGGCATAAGTCTAGGCATAGGTATAAGTTTGTTCAATCATCGGTTCAACGCGGGGGGATTTAATAATTCATACTAATAAAAGACGTGGCAGCTCAAAGGCTAAGCGCTCGTCGTAAATTTTAAACTAGATCCGTGTTCGATCCCCGATGGCACCAGTTAAATTGATAATTGCAATTTCAAGCGAAAGAAAACTTCGTGAGAAACCATGCATGTCTGAGAAATTAAATATTTTGAAAACATATGAGGTGCGTCAGTACGCACTGGAGCAGCTCAACGGACATAATATTGTTCTTTCACGCACTCAGAAAGGAGAGGAAACCTAGACAACAGGCCCAGAAGTGGGACCAAAATTTTTTTTAATTTATTTGTGTAAAACAAATAAGAATCATAAAGGATACATTATTGCAGCGTATCATTTACTAACATTGACAAGTAAAAAAAATTATAGCTGTCAAGCCACCTGCAAAGCATGATAACTATGGTAAATATCTTACGTGGAAGTTAAAATACAAATTAGTAAAATATAAAAAATATTATTTGGAAATTTTCATTCTAACATAAATGTTTATTTAATAAAGGAATAATTTTAATTGATTCAGACGATTCCGTGCAATGGTAAACATAGGTACATTAAAAATCAGACGCGTCGAATATATAACTTACGGAATAGGAGCCCATTACAGCATCCTCTACACAAGCTTCTTCATTTTCATTCAATAGCTCTTTAAGCATATATTTATAACAACTCCTCATCTTTTTACATCTACAATTTAAAAAAAGTGTTAAGTAATTAAGTGCTTCTTAGAAATATTTAGAACAATTTTTTTATAGGATAGGGTGAGAAGCAAGCACACAGTCCATCTGATGGTAAGTGGTTGCTGCGGTCCATAGACATCTACATCTATTCTCGATTACAAATCAAAATACAGATGCAATGTCACCCCTGAGGACTGAGATGGAATGCCTCGTTTCCAGTAAAAGGGTCTTCGGTTCTCTACACTCACCATACGAAACACAGCAGCGTTAAGCTATTATTTTACGCTCGTATTCTGTGAGAGCGTGGTCCTTCCCCGGTCGAGCCTACCCATTTGTGCTACAACTACACTACTACACTACTAATATAACTGCAGCATGGCTCTACCAAGTATAAAACACGTTTTTATATTATTTAAATAAATCTTTTAAAGGAAATCTATTTCACAATTTAATATGTAAAATGTACTAGATATAAGACAAACCTGCAATTTTCCGTCACTACTACGTGGACACTGGCTATAATCAAACAAATATGTTAAAATAATACATTATTAGATTAAATAAAATAAAATTTACTTTGATAATAGCACACCAACCGGTTAAGTAAAAACATATAACAATAAATATATTTTTCATGTTGTTATGTTTACAACAATGTCGCTGTCGCAAATGATTAACGCGTATACCAATACGACTTGAATTTACTTTAGTATAAAAAAGCAATAAAACTCTAAATAAAAGTCGATAAATGTATTGTAGCTTTATTGTAACAACTGAAAATGCATAAAATCATTGGCCTTAAGAATTTTTATCGTCGTCTCTAGAAGTTCTTTGTGTCGTTGGAAATTCCTTCCTGATCTGTGCAGCGAATACTCTAAACCCTTCATAGAATTGTGGTAATACATTTCGTAAACGTTTTTCTGGGAAGAGAAACTCGAAGCCATCCGTCAACTCCATTGTGTACGAGTAAGGAACGTGTACTGCTCCGAAAGCAAAATCATCGCTTCCTCCAGCAGCGGGATACCATTGTCCAGCGCTCATTACTCTAAACGGCTCTCCCCCGGCTCTTTGAACGGCAACTGATACATTTCTAGCCAGAGCATCCAGCTTCTTCCACTGTTTCGGCAAGTAGTGTGCCGTATAACCCCAAGGGTAGACCAAATATTGACCGTAAGCGTGTAACGACACGTACAATTTCAACCGATCCGCATTCGCCAACATCACGTCCCTCACCATCTGCGTCTCAGGCTCTGAGAATGGTTTGTGGCCGGCGTATGTTTCCATATCGCAAGGGTTTTTGGATACTCCACTTACAGCCCAGTAATACCCATAATTCCTATTTCCGTCTACTCCGTAACAATCGGCCGGCCCGTTCTTAGATCGCGTTTTCCGCCACATACGGTTCTAAAAGTATATTGATGATATGAAAATAATGATATTAAATATAATGTATAATTAATGTCATTAATATAACATTGTATTAACAAATAATGTTAAGAAAATACAAGAAATATTCTATATATTCTATATATCTATCGATTGTATTTTTTTAATTAAAAAAACGTTACCTCAAGACTAGGATTTTCTCCTGTAACGTGGGAGCAGTTTACAAACATACGTTTCACAAGGACACACATCCAGACCCGGAACAATTACTTGTAGACAATACAAATACTTGTTCCGTGCGAGATTCGAACCCGCGGCTCTTAGCGCTGTAACTCATGGCTAAGCCACTGCGCCATGCATCATGCAATACCGTACAATCGACTGCATTCAATAGATAGACTTTTTCACATCATTCATTAAATAGACGTTTTGTGTGTTGACAAACCAGTACACGGTCCACCTGATGGTAAGTGGATGCTGTGGCCCATAGATATATCCATATCTATCCTCGATTACAAATTAAAATACAGATGCGTTGTCATGCCTGAGGACTAAGGTGAATTTTCTCGTTTCCAGTAAAGTGGGTTTCCGGTTTTTTATACTCACCATACGTCTTACAGCAACATTAAGCTGCTATTTCACGTTGACATTCTGTGAAAGCGTAGTCCATCCCCGGTCGAGCAGACCCATTAGTTCTACAACCATAGTATATACAACAAGTAACATAATTAACGCACTTTGAGAAAGTAGTTTGTTCAGAATCGTTTACTGAATCGATTCCTATCATTTTTAATATAAGTAATTTTCTATCCCAAAAATAATTAAAACTACGTAAATTACAGTCACACTAAATCTGTACAGTCAAAACACACTGAAATTGACCGTAACTTAAGGCAATAAGACTTTTAAGAGTGCATTTTTATTTGTATTATTACTAATTCTGTCATTCAATAAAAAAAAAGAAAAATTAACTTTATTTCAAGCACGTTAAAGTCTGCGTTCGTGGATTTGTACTGTGACCACAACATTCTTCCGGAATTAGTATAACCAATTTGATAAATAATCAGTGCATAAAAATGTTTAACTAAAATTCAGTGTATGTACTATGATTATAACATAATATACTATTTGGGGTGTATGCGTTAATTACGTTACATATTGTATATGCAGAATGACTCGACCATGTAAAATTTTACAAAATAACCGATATTCTTGCGAAAACAATAAAAATGTTACACCGAGCTTTATATAGCTCTGTATCATACATATTACTGATATTTAACTTTAAAATTATAAAATGTTCTTCAGTTTAAAAGAAATCTGTGGATTATTTTTATATCCATTATATAATTTTGTATGTTTTGGCGAATCAGTAAAGTTTAATTATACTCACAGCTTTACTGGCACGAGTGTACTCATATCCGTCAGGGTTGACGACCGGTAGGATATACCAGTCCACTCCGCGCAGGTCATTCTTTCTCGCCTCGGGGTCCATGACCAGGCGTTGGATAAGGTATAGAGCCATTGCAGGTGCCACCCACTCGCGGGCATGGATACCTAAGCATTGCCACTAATTACATTGTAATATATCTTAAAATGTTACTTATACTTTAATTAAGTAATGAGTTGCGACTAGTGATTGTTTAAATTCTGGTTGTGTTTAAGTAACATAGTCACGATGTAACGTAGGATAGGTGCAACGCGAATAGATAGACACAACAGAGTTTTTTTTAAATAGAATAAAGGTGACAAACGAGCACACAGTCCACCTGATGGAAGTGGATGCTGTGGCCCATAGACATCTACATTTATCCCCGATTAAGAATCAAAACGCAGATGCGTTGTTACTCTCCCTGAGGACTAAGTAGGAATGCCTTGTTACCGATAAAAAAGGGTCTCCGGATCTCAATACTTATCATACGAAACACAGCAGCATTAAGCTGCTATTTTACGCTGGTATTCTGTAATAGCGTGGTCCTTCCCCGGTCGAGCCGACCCATTCGTGCCATAATGTAGCCGCAGCGTGGCTCTACCACGAACAAAAAAAAGTTGGGACCACTCTCGCCTAGAACACCAGCGTAAAACTGCAGCATATTGCTGTATGCTTGCATTATAAGGGATGAGAAGAGGAGACTCTTTTCACTGATAACTAGACATTCTATCTTAGTTCTCCCTTTAATACTCATTGGGAACCACGCGCAGTCTACATTTTGATTGTAAGTTGAAAATAGATATGTTTCTATGGAATACGACATAGTATCTGTGACTGTATATTTATTACCTATTGCTATGCAATCTCATATGTGGAATCTCAATTCTTTTATAAATTAATTATAGTGCGTAAGGTGTTAGGATAAACGGGCCAATGCCCACTTCTCGGTACATTGTATAAAAGTCATAAAAATAGTCCTTTTATAATATATTTTTTTAAACTTTATAATTGATTATTATTTTAAAATGAGAGAAAGGCATAAGATAAAATTAACTATAATATAAAAGAGTTTACTATACGAGTATATATTACATAACGTCCATAATTTATATTTTCCTTTAAAATTCGTTTTATTAAAATAATATAATTTTACGCCATAAACATAAACCATACTGACCAGCGTCTATAAATATGATTGGGTTCCCGGCATTATGATTCTGGGATATCTTGACGAGTTTCATTTTTCTACCTTGATAACTTAAACCTAAATTCTGTAACTTAATCAACTCCGGGTTTCTACTTGCCGTCGTTTCGATAAATTCTTGAATCTGAAAATGTTATATAATTTACAAAATTGTTGGTAAATATTTCTTTCGAAACGAATGACGAGATTTTTACATTTAATTTTTTAAATAAACCGATGCGGCATATATTTTTATAAACGTTGTTATTTTGTATAATCATTTTTTTTTTGTGTTTATACTAAGTATGATCTATGAATGCTTAGCTTTATTTTTATTTATTTTTGTATTCGTTTTAGTTATGACTCTTTTTTTCTTGTTCATTGTAATTTTAAAGTATTAATTTAACTACAAAATAAAATACATAACATAATATTGAGCTCCCACCATATCTTGTACCATGTTTAAGTATTATAGTGTTGAAAATATAAAAAAATCTCCAAGTAATACATGCTATAATAATAGTAAAAGAAGAAAGTAAAATAACATCGTTATACTAACAGATGCGTATGAATGATACTCGAATACATTGAAGCCGCGTAGGGCCCTTCTTCTTGGTTCCCGTTCGGCTGACTCGAATATTCTAGCGGGAAATCAAATGTGTCATCAATTAAAAATATTAAAATAGGCGTAAGCACTCGTTAAACTAAAAAAAGTAAAGATGCATTCTACAATATAATGAAATACATTGACCTTACATTTATTTTATGACTGAGCTATAAATTGGTAATTATAAAAATATTTGAAAGAGAGATTTTCCAAAAAAAAATTATCGTCAATCCTCTAAATACCAAGCTTGCCTACAGCTAATTAAAAAGAGGCTACCGTTTGAAAATGCCGAACCTTAATTTCACAGACTGGTGAGGGACGCAGTGTATGCAATCGGCTTTGCTCTTAGCATCGCAGCTTGCTTGGCTATGGCAAGTATTGAGAAAACTGGAAATATGTATAATTTTTAAGTTTTAAGAAAACATTAGAATTTTTTAAATTTCTTCAAGAACATAATCGATAAGTACTAAGCGTATTCATGAAACGTTCCGCTTATTAAACATACATACTGAAATTTGCCGTTTGATTGCGGCATAAAAATCGTAACTTTATTAACAACGTGACTGCTAAAAATTTACTTAAGAAAATATATGCTGGTAAGACCTTGTACAAATATATTTTTTTATAGAATAACAGTGACAAACGAGCACAAAGTCCACCTGATAGTAAGTGGATGCTGTGGCCCATAGACTTTTACATTTATCTTCGATTGAGAATCAATATGTAAATGCGTTGTCGCCTTTAAGGACCAAAATCGAATGCCTCGTTTCCAGTAAAAAGGGTCTCCGGTTCTCTACACTCGCCCTACGAAACACAGCAGCATTAAGCTGTTATTTTACGGTGATATTCACACAAATATAAACGTCTTGTATTTAATTTTTTATAGAATAACAGTGACAAACGAGCAATACAGTCCACCTGATGGTAAGTGGATGCTGTAACCCATAGAAATCTACATTTAACCTCGATTAAGAATCAAAATGCAGACGCGTTATCACCCCTGAGGACTAAGACGGAATGCCTCGATTCCAGTAAAACGGGTCAGTAAATTTAAAATACCCAAACTGACGATAAGCGAATGACAAGCTTCAAAGGTGTGAGACGCCTTTACTGTTATCTTAGCCTTTACTTTATCATCAAGCCATCAGCCAAACATAACAATAATAACAAGTTCTCTCTACTTTGGTAGAAGGGAAAAGCCATATTTAATAGTAAACGGTTTATGAACCGATGAATTGTTTAGGTGTAAATAATCAACTTTTTAATGGCGTAAAGTTTTTGCTTTATCAATTAAAATCTTAAACTAAAACGTACCTGCCATAATTATTTTTCACGTCGTAAATTAAGTTGTTTTCCTTCGCGAACTGTGCAATATAAAGCAAACGGTCTGGAGGAACGAGTACGTCGGTGCTATCGTTGTAGGCGCGACTTTTTTTCAGTATCTCGACGGTGTTGCTTGGATCCTTGAATAGTTTTATGGCTTCAAATTGTGAATCTTCGGTGGGAAACAGTCGGAAAAGTGTGTAACTGTAAAATAAAGTATGTAGACAGTCTACGATTCATAATAAATGTAATAAAGTTGTGTGTGTTTTTAATATGATCATTGTTTAATAAAAATTTCCGATCCCAATTACATCATATGCGCTTAGAAAAGAGTATATTGCAAAATAACTTTATTATCCTATGCAAGAAAATAGTTCATCTTATAACATCGAATGTGATCAACTGTTTGCATGTTGTTTTCTAATCTATTTGTTACAGCAAGGGCATTATGACGTCAACAAGTAAAAAGATTAATTCTTCCCCTTATCTCCGTAGCCGATGATTTTCACAGCCTCATCAATGCACTTTAAGATATATTTTCTCACTATTGTATGTATAACTTTATACCACGGGTCCTCACTCAACAGATATATTGAGATTATAACGGTCTACTCCTTCTATATTTTGTTTTTATGAGTAGTTTTTATGTATGTATGTATGTATGTGTATGTGTGTAAGTATGTAAACCTTTCATAGCTTTTGAACGTCTTGATCGCTTGAGGTGTGGTTTGCGGCGTTCTAAAGATCTCAATGTGGATAGATTTGGTGATAATATGAACTGATTCGGACTAGTAGATTTTGAGAAATCTCAAAGATAAAAATTTTGGAAAACTGAATAAACTTTTTAGAATAACTTTTAAACGGCTTTACCGATCGATTTGAAAAACTAATCAGCTCTTAACCTTCAAAAATTACGTCGAATTCCGTTTGAAAAATAAAAATCGGTTTATTCGTTCGTGAGATATCGAAGGACAAATAATATGAACAAAAATGGTTTTTTTTAACATATCTTCGAGATTTCGCAACATAATTTGGTGAAATTTGGAGCGCTTTGCATTTGAAATTAGCGGGAAATTCCAAGGATGGCTTGCAGAGTCAACTAATTTTTTTTCTTGAATTTCATGCCGCTCCTTGTCACAAGGTCATCCGCAGTAGGGTTTTTACAGAAAGCCAGTTTCTGTACTTTCGAAAAATGCTTTGTACAGACCAATTTAAAGCCACAATAATATACTTGTAATTGTAAGAATGAATCCTTTTCTTATCGAAAAGTTGACGCCATGATAAAATCACAAACATACTGAAGCTGAAAGACTTCAATGGAATGAAGAAGAAAAGGATTAAACGTTATGAAGGTCCCCTTTGCCAGTTTCGGTAAACCATTACGGTAACAACTTCCGATTACGCGAAAGCGATGCGGCGAGTATAATGACTGGGTTTAAAATCCATGCATCCTTGTTTCAATCCGATGTAGTAGCCAGGACCACTAGATTACAGCGTTGTCAGTCAATAAATGCATTATATGCCTATATTCCGTTTATAGCCTACGTAAATGAAGGCCTTTTGATGGCATTTTGGATTTTGATTTGAAATTAATGAAAAAATAAATGATGTGACTTACTTATCATATCTATTACTTTCTCCGGAGCCCGCTTGTGTCCATAATCCTAGAATACCTGAAATAAATTAAATAAAAAAACATATTAAGTGGTGTAATATGTCTATGCCCTTTTTTTGAATTATCAAAGGAATCAGACCTAGTGTCGTATAACGTTTTATGGGAAAAGCTTAGGAAGGATACACCTTTAGAGCTTGTTATAATGTGAGAAGAGCGGTTAAGTATTTAACTGAAGTGCGGGTGAAACAAAACCCACACTAGGAATTGATCCTGTATCGTGGCGAAGCGTCATTTGTACACAAAATGCACATAGAGAAATATGCAGATCCGGGACAATTATTTGCACCCGATTTGTGCCAGAATCGAATATGTCGCCAACAGCAGTGCAACCATAGGCGTGGTAGAGATATTCGTAGTATAGTTGTAGCACGCATATGTGGGCTCCTCGTTATATTTAGAGAAATGACTTTAATCAAAAAAACTTTGAACTCCCGGGGCACTGGGTCTTCTACGACTAATTTGATGATGATTTGGTTATTGAACGTGAGCTTCAGACATTGGCAGTGATTGCCTTTTCTCGTCAAACACTTTAATACGCGGACAGTTTGAGGGTCAACAATATTTTGCAGAAGTGACAAGGTCCTACACATTCAATATCATAATGGCTTTAAGATAATTATTGGGTTTCCTCGCCAGCTCGCACTGCTCGTACTGCAGCCATTAAAGATAATTTGCAAATCCTACTACATACTGACTGATATACAGGAAAATATATATACAAATATTTGCCTAACATTGTATGTGAGAAAATTCCAGTAGCTTTATATAATAGTTAGGTCGCTACATATGAAAATGGCGTTTTGTACGGGAAGAATATAAAGTAATTTTTTTTTTTGTAAAATATATTTAACTAATCCAAGTACTCCTCTCCCTGGACATCCACAAGTCGAGTGGGCCTGACGGAATCCCCCCAATTGTGCTGAGGACGTGTGCTCCAGAGTTGGCACCGGTTTTAACGCGTTTTTTCCGGTACTCCTACTCCCTAGGCGTAGTCCCAAAATCATGGAAGACGGCTTTCGTCCACCCGATCCCTAAAAAAGGCGACCGCTCAGACCCGTCCAACTACCGGCCTATCGCCATCACCTCCTTGTTCTCCAAAACAATGGAGTCCATTGTAAACTGCCAGCTCATGAGGTACCTTGAGGATCACCAGCTGATTAGTGACCGCCAATACGGTTTTCGCCGTGGTAGGTCAGCTGGTGATCTTCTGGTCTACCTAACTCACAGATGGGCGGAGGCAGTAGAGTCCAAGGGGGAGGCATTGGCCGTTAGTTTGGACATTGCGAAGGCCTTCGATCGGGTTTGGCACAAAGCGCTTCTTTCGAAGCTCCCTTCCTATGGGCTTCCCGAGAAATTGTGCGATTGGATCACCAGTTTTCTTGCAGATCGGAGCATCAAGGTCGTTGTAGACGGTGCAAGCTCCGATTGCAAGCCTATTAATGCTGGTGTTCCACAGGGCTGCGTGCTATCGCCAACGCTGTTTCTTCTGCATATCAATGATATGTTGCAGACCCGTAACATTCATTGCTATGCAGATGACAGCACTGGTGATGCTCTTTACACCGGCCGAGCCAATATTTCTCGGGAAAACGTCTCCGAGTGCCGGGACAAACTTGTGTCTGAAGTCGAGTCTCTGCTGGACAGAGTCTCGGATTGGGAGCGACTAAATCTAGTCCAGTTTAACCCCCAGAAGACACAAGTTTGCGCGTTAACCGCTAAAAAGAACCCCTTTGTCGTATCCCCTCAGTTTCAAGGCACTCCCCTTGTTGCCTCAGCCAGTATCGGAATCCTCGGCGTCGACATATCGAGTGACGTGCAGTTTCGTGGTCACTTGGAAGGGAAGGCCAAATTGGCCTCTAAAAAAGCTTGGCGTGCTCAGCAGAGCGGGACAGTATTTCATGCCGGCACACCGCCTGCAACTTTACAAGGCGCAGGTTCGGCCGCACATGGAATACTGTTCCCATCTCTGGGCTGGGGCTCCCCAGTACCAGCTCCTTCCACTTGACCACATCCAGCGCAGAGCGGCTCGAATCGTCGACGACCGAGTGCTTTCCGATCGGCTCGATTCTCTGGCACTGCGAAGAGATGTTGCATCCCTTTGCATTTTCTTTCGCATATACCATGGAGAGTGCTCTGAGGAATTGTTCGGATTAATCCCAGCCGCCAAATTTCGTGAACGCACTACGCGGCAAACGTCCCGATACCATCCACACCATCTGGATGCTTGGCGGTCCACCACTGTACGTTTCAAAAGGAGTTTTCTTCCGCGTACAACCTCTCTGTGGAATAATTTACCACCAGCAATTTTTCCGGACCGATACGACCTGGGGACCTTCAAGAAAAGAGCTTACTCCTTTCTAAAGGGCCGGCAACGCGTCTGCAATTCCCCTGGTGTTGCAGTTGATCATGGGCGGCGGTAGTCACTTAACATCAGGTGAGCCACATGCTCGTTTGCCCCCTCTTCTATAAAAAAAAAAATGCACTTTTGCCATCTCATAGATAGTTCATTGATTCTTTTACTAAAAAACAATGGGGGCAAGAATCAATAAACTCTTTGAAGGTGGTTTGGACTGTCGCATCGGAGTTGAATTTCTTTCCTTGTAAGAAGTTGTTCGAATTCCGCAAAAAAAAAAAATGGTAAACTGTTGGAGCAAGGTCCGAGGGCAAGTACGGTGGATGTCGCAGACATTCCAATTGTAGCTCGTCTAACTTAGTGGTTGTTTGTTGTGCAGTGTGCGGTCTTGCGTTGTCGTGAAGCAGCAGTGGCCTAGAGCGATTGACCAATCTCAGTTGTTTAGCAGCTAGTTGTTCCTTCATGGTTTGCAGTTGCTGACAATAGATATCTGCCGTAATCGTTTGGCCAGATTTTAGAAAGCTGTAGTGAACGACACCGGCGCTAGTCCACCAAACACTCACAAATAACTTTTTCTGAGTATATTTTCGTTTAGGGCAAGATTTGGCTGGGTCTCCAGTGTTTAGCCATTGCGACGAGTGCTTCCGATTATCGCACAGAATCCATTTTTCATCACAAGTAATGATTCGATTTAAAACCTCTTCATTTTTGTGTCGGTTGAGCAAAGTAGCACAGCATTCGACGCGTGTTTGCAAGTTCGATTCACTCAATTCATGAGGTTCGTTCAAGTTTTTTTACTTTCCCGATTTGCTTCAAGTGGATCAATACAGTTTATCACATATCCCGAAGCTTGTAGCTATCTCTGAAGTGCTTTGTGATGGATCCGCTTCCACAATAGCCTTTAATTCTTCATTTTCCCCTTTGGTCTCCAGCCGTCCACGGGGTTGGTTCTGAAGCTCAAAATTTCCAGAACGAAAACTTTGAAACTAAAAACGTACCGTGCTTTTTTTTGCGACACCAGCGCCTTACACATCATTAATCCTACGAGCTGTTTCTGCACCACTGATGCCACGGTAGAACTCGTACTTGTAAATTACCGACATTTCATGTATTTCATTGTGCGGTAAAAAGCCAAAGAAACCAAGTATATAGTCAGTAATCTATGAAAGAAACAAATAATGAGGAAAAAACTAATGAGTAACTGTTTTCAAAACTCAAATGTACTACCTAAATGAATTTATAAATTTGAATTTGAAATTCTTAACCAAAGAGGAGACATTTCAGATCAAAGTGGTCAGTAAGATAAAATACTAATTTCCTATGTAAGGATCCAATATAAAATGGTGCCATATTTAGATTGAGCTGATTTTCCGTTTGTGCGAAATTAGAAATTGTGACCAATGCGATTAAGTATTCGAAAATTGTTGCAAAATAGTTATAATTTTAAGGCATTGAAATAAAACGTACTAATTATACTTCAATGTTTTAAGTATACATTTTCCACGTGCTCGACTGTAAAAACAACGTAGGGAGAGCTGCAAGTATGAAAAATGCAAAATATTTGAGACATGTAAAGTCCGCCAACACGCATTTAGGCTGCGCGGCGAACACTTCCTCACGCCAAAAACCATCTCGGAAATATGAGCAGACTTATGCCAAGTAGTATATATATAACAGTAGGTATATGTGTGGTATACACTTTCACTTTACGTAATGGGTAAGTGACCTACTATATATTAAAATATTACTTGTACTATACGTGGTAGAGCCACGCTGCAGTTATATTAAGGTTGTAGCACGAATGGGTTGGCTCGCCACGCTCTCACAGAATACCAGCGTAAAATAGCTTAATACTGCTGTGTTTCGTATGGTGAGTGTAGAGATCCGAAGACTTTTTTACTGGAAACGAGGCATTCCATCTTAGTCCTCATGTCCTTTTGTTGTGTTAATTTTTACTACTAATAACAATATTTTTAGGTGATATTACTTAATATATAAACAATAATTCATATTTATCTATTAAAAAAATCTAGAACGTAAATGCTACATATCACAAGTTTTTTTATAGAATAAGGGTTACAAACGAGCACACAGTCCACCTGATAGCAAGTGGATGATGTGGTCCATTCGTTCTGCAACTATACTACTAATATAACTGCAGCATGGCTCTACCACGCATAAAAAAAAGTTCAATATGACTTTCTAAGTTTACAAATCATATAAAACCATTTAACGTGATGTAGTAATGGAAAACTATGCTAGTATTTAAAGAGAAGGGTTTGATGGTATTTTAGGAAATCTAAAATAGTAGCAACAAATAGCATCATATTGACGCTGTGTTTTATTTGGTGAGTCTGGAGAACCGACAAAACCTTTTTACTGGTTTCTTGGTAACGATGCACTTTATCTTAGTTCCCGAGGGTAACAAATCTTCCACATTTTTATTCCTAATCGGGATAATCGGGATAGATGTAGATGTCGATGACCACAGCGCCCACTTACCATCAGACCCTTATTCTATGAAAAAGTAAACAGTAACATCTGCTCGTAACACTCAACTGCGGTACATGAGCCATTACTACTGAATTTATATGTCGTAATCTTCAAATGAGCTGTGTAATTAAATACTTAATGTTTTATTTAAA